TCATTATATACAGGTAGTCTTATAGTACATGTGTGTGACAGTGTCGTTATATACAGGTAGTCCCATAGTACATGTGTGTGACAGTGTCATTATATACAGGTAGTCTTATAGTACATGTGTTACAGTGTCGTTATATACAGGTAGTCGTAACGCACAAATATGACAGTTTCGTTATATACAGGTAGTCTTAACGCACGTGTGTGACAGTGTCATTATATACAGGTAGTCTTAACGCACGTGTGTGACAGTGTCATTATATAAAGGTAGTCTTAACGCACAGATCGGATGTCATTGTAAGTAGACATTGTGTACACATTTGAGTCCCTGTAGCCACGTGCTTGTTGCTATCATCATGTCGTCCCCAGCTCTGAGTGGGTGTGTCTCTTCACTTGTGTCTGACGGTGTGAAAGATAAGACTCCTGGGTTGGGTCTAGACACACTGAGGTTGAGTGAGTGAGTGAGTTTAGTTTTACGTCGATTTTTACAAGATTCCAGCAATATCACGGCGGGCATAATATAAGCTGGAGCTTCTTCCGTTGTTTTCGGCAATACTCGACAAGTTCCGTATCAGACCGGTAACTGGTACCGTCATGCCTCGGGTCACACTAACACTACCCTTAGAGCAAGTGTACCGCCAGGAGGGGCGTCTGGGCGTCTTTAACAGATGATGGTTCCCACAAACATGCCGACCTTGGAGTGCAAACACCGATCCGCTTCGTGGGGTTCATATCTGGTTAGTAATTGACGCACGCCTGCGGAAGGAACGTCCATTTAGCAAATATTAAGATAAAAGATGGGTGACGAACGCTATCTCAGGCTTAAGGCAATAAAGCGTAAATTGAGCTGAGTTTTATGAGATGACCCCTGCCAATCACTTGATGGGTACTGGTATCGATCACATCGTGAGCTTCTTATTCCAGGGGCTGACATCGCCCATTAAAACGATTTAATACCATAAATTTACTTTCAATGTTTGTGGGCCGGAGTGCCTTTATGGAAGGTGTCATGAAATATAGCTACACAGTCTGTGTGTGTGTGTCTTATGTGTCGCAGTTTATTGCTTTAGCAAGGGTTAACAGTTGTATCTTGTATTGGGTAACGGAGTTATCCTGTACTGAGAGTGGGGGAGCCTGGAGCCTGGAGCCTGGAGCCTGGAGCCTGGAGCCTGGAGCCTGGAGCCTGGAGCCTGGAGCCTGGAGCCTGGAGCCTGGTTTGCGTAATTTAACATGCTCTACGATTGTTGGAAACAAATTAGTAGTGCTTGAAGTTGTTGTGTATGATGCTGTAGTGCGTCACTGCGTACAGTGCATGACGTTGAAGAGCATGGCAGGGTAGTGCATGACGTTGAAGAGCATGGCAGGATAGTGCATGACGTAGGACTTCTCGGACCATGGAATTTGCTCACGTGAAGCACTGTCTTCATCAGCTGATGAACGTCAACAAATGCAGCTTCAGTCCCTCCAACATCCAATCAAGACTTCTGACTTTTGCGACGCCGAGTTTGTTTCACGACTAATTAAGTGGTTCAGGGTCCAGGACATCTGACAATCTTGGGTCACAGCTGTGTCATTTAGACTGAGAATCATGGGTTCCTGTTGTGTTGTTCAGACTGCATCAGAGAGACAGATTGTTTGACTCGATGCTACAGTCTCAATAATGTAGCCACCTGTCTCAATAATGAGGTCGCTTTATACGAGGCTACTTGAATACCAGGCTACATTATTATTGTACCACAGACCGCTTTGTACCAGGCTACATTATTGAGACAGACCGCTTTGTACCAGGCTACATTATTGAGACAGATCGCCTTGTACCAGGCTACATTATTGAGACAGACCGCTTTGTACCAGGCTACATTATTGAGACAGATCGCCTTGTACCAGGCTACATTATTGAGACAGACCGCTTTGTACCAGGCTACATTATTGAGACAGAGACCAGGCTACTATTGAGACAGTACCAGGCTACATTATTGAGACAGACCGCTTTGTACCAGGCTACATTATTGAGACAGACCGCCTTGTACCAGGCTACATTATTGAGACAGATCGCCTTGTCGCTTTGTACCAGGCTACATTATTGAGACAGATTGCCTTGTACCAGGCTACATTATTGAGACAGATTGCCTTTGCTACCAGGCTACATTATTATTGAGACAGACCGCCTTGTACCAGGCTACATTATTGAGACAGACCGCCTTGTATGAGAGGCTACATTATTGAGACAGACCGCTTGTACCAGGCTACATTATTGAGACAGACCGCTTTGTACCAGGCTACATTATTGAGACAGACCGCTTTGTACCAGGCTACATTATTGAGACAGACCGCTTTGTACCAGGCTACATTATTGAGACAGACCGCTTTGTACCAGGCTACATTATTGAGACAGACCGCTTTGTACCAGGCTACATTATTGAGACAGATTGCCTTGTACAGGGCAGCTTTGTACCAGGCTACATTATTGAGATCGCTTTGTACCAGGCTACATTATTGAGACAGACCGCTTTGTACCAGGCTACATTATTGAGACAGAGACTGCTTTGTACCAGGCTACATTATTGAGACAGACCGCTTTGTGAGACAGACCGCTTTGTAGGCTACATTATTGAGACAGACCGCTTTGTACCAGGCTACATTATTGACAGACAGACCAGGCTTTGTACCAGGCAGGCTACATTATTGAGACAGACCGCTTTGTACCAGGCTACATTATTGAGACAGATTGCTTTGTACCAGGCTACATTATTGAGACAGACCGCTTTGTACCAGGCTACATTATGAGACAGACCGAGGCTACATTATTGAGACAGATTGCCTTGTACCAGGCTACATTATTAGAGATTTGCTTTGACCGCTTTGTACCAGGCTACATTATTGAGACAGACCGCTTTGTACCAGGCTACATTATTGAGACAGACCGCTTTGTACCAGGCTACATTATTGAGACAGACCGCTTTGTACCAGGGCTACATTATTGAGACAGATCGCCTTTGTACCAGGCTACATTATTGAGACAGACCGCTTTGTACCAGGCTACATTATTGAGACAGACCGCTTTGTACCAGGCTACATTATTGAGACAGACCGCTTTGTACCAGGCTACATTATATTGAGACAGACCGCTTTGTACCAGGCTACATTATTGAGACAGACCGGCCTTGCCAGGCTGTACCAGGCTACATTATTAGACAGAGGCTACATTATTGAGACAGACCGCTTTGTACCAGGCTACATTATTGAGACAGACCGCTTGTACCGAAGCTACATTATTATCACACAGACCGCTTGTACCAGGCTACATTATTGAGACAGACCGCTTTGTACCAGGCTACATTATTGAGACAGACCGCTTTGTACCAGGCTACATTATTGAGACAGACCGCTTTGTACCAGGCTACATTATTGAGACAGACCGCTTTGTACCAGGCTACATTATTGAGACAGACCGCTTTGTACCAGGCTACATTATTGAGACAGACCGCTTTGTACCAGGCTACATTATTGAGACAGATTGCTTTGTACCAGGCTACATTATTGAGACAGACCGCCTTGTACCGCTACATTATTTTGTACCAGGCTACATTGAGACATTGAGGCTACATTATTGAGAGACAGATTGTACCAGGCTACATTATTATTGAGACAGGCTACATTATTGGGACAGATCGCTTTGTACCAGGCTACATTATTGAGACAGATTGTACCAGGCTACATTATTGAGACAGATTGCCTTGTACCAGGCTACATTATTGGACATTGCGACCAGGCTACATTATTGAGACAGATCGCCTTGTACCCAGGCTACATTATTGAGACAGATTGCCTTGTACCAGGCTACATTATTGAGACAGACCGCATTATTTTGTACCAGGCTACATTATTGAGACAGACCGCTTTGTACCAGGCTACATTATTGAGACAGAGACCGCTTGTACCAGGTATGCCCCAGGCTATATTATTGAGACAGACCGCCTTGTACCAGGCTACATTATTAAGACAGACCGTTATTGTACAGACCGCTTTGTACGAGGCTACATTATTGAGACAGACCGCCTATGTACCGGGCTACATTATTGAGACAGACCGCCTTGTACCAGGCTACATTATTGAGACAGATACCGCTACATTATTGGGACAGATGTACCAGGCTACATTATTGAGACAGACCGCTTTGTACCAGGCTACATTATTGAGACAGACCGCTTTGTACCAGGCTACATTATTGAGACAGACCGCCTTGTACCAGGCTACATTACTGAGACAGATTGCCTTGTACCAGGCTACATTATTGAGACAGACCGCTTTGTACCAGGCTACATTATTGAGACAGACCGCTTTGTACCAGGCTACATTATTGAGACAGATCGCTTTGTACCAGGCTACATTATTGAGACAGATCGCCTTGTACCGAGGCTACATTATTAAGACAGACCGCTTGTGTACCAGGCTACATTATTGAGACAGATCGCCTTGTACGAGGCTACATTATTAAGACCGTTTTGAAGTTGGTGCTGTCATGGTATGCTAGTACAGCTTATTACTGTGCAAGGTATCCCGATCGGAGCAGATCGGCCATTGTTGCGCTTCTCAATCATCCTGCTCGAACCCGAAGACCCGGGTTCGATTCCCCACGTGGGTACATTGCACGAAGCCCATTTCTGGTGTCCTCCGCCGTGATATGGCTGGAAAATTGCTAAACGCGGCCTAAAAACAAACTCACTCACTCACTCACTCTGATAGAAGCGGGAACAGGTCAAAAGGGCCGCACGACAAAAGGGCCCCAAAACAGAAAAGTCAAAAGGGTCGCAAGAAAGTCAAAAGGGCCTCAGACCCCTAATGAAAAGGGCCCCGTATATAAAGGATAATAATAACATCTTTTTCAAAAGTGCATTATAGTAGAAGGTGAAACATCTATACAATGTATACTTTATGCATACTAGTCCTGTTTTTAATAGATATTTTGTCAATATTAGAAAGAAAATGATGACAAAGAACAGATTATGTGATGCTTGTTTATTTCATCTAAGTAACAAAACACTTATGCTTGACAATCATGTAAGCTGGCAATAATCCCTAAGATGTCTTGTTTTCTTTGCTCTTCCGTGAATACTGTCAGAATATTTTAGATTATTGAATTCCTTGTTAATAAACCTTGCAATGGACATACATGTTTCAGCTGACTTGAGTCTGTGTCAATATGTGACTATAAAATCCTGGACAGACTTGTTTTTGATAACACTTCCCTGTACTATGGCAGTGAAGTGTGTGAAGTGTTTGACAACAGCGAGGAAGAACCAGCATGCCATCAGGATTATGATTATGATTATGATTATGCATTGCATTGATTGTCTATAATTTGGCATCACGTGTATTGTCTCTCAGTGTTACATGTGTGTATTCCAGCTGTAAGGTGTAAGAGTCAAACCAATTCCAGCACCTTACATGCACTCGCCTGCACTGGTCGCCTCCCCTGTCGCAAGGTCCTATCAGGCGGTTCAGCAGTTCGGCTTCGGGTTATCGTCCTCTGCTGACGAAGGTTGTCGTTTATTGTGACTTTCAATAAATATTTTGTTACAAGGTTTGGATATTATTGACTAAGGCGTTAAACAAGATTCACTCGTCTGTACATTACATACTGAGTAAGTGTATCCTCGTACAACTCGCTTCAGTAGAATATAAAACCGTGTGTTCAGATATAAGCTTCACGCCGTTATTGTGGAAGCTGCGTTGTGCCGTCTGCTCCTACTTCCTGGGAATGTCTACCGCGTGGGGAACTCGGGGAAAACATCCCAGTCATAAACCCGAACCCCTGCTGAGTGCGGAGCTTGCGGAGAAATGACGGCACGAATTGGGGAAGATGCCAAAACTAGTGGACATATAGAAACAATATGAAGAGTAGCAGAGTGGATGGGTTCAGGCTGTGTAACACGCTGCAAGAGACACATCGCCATTGTGTGTAGCACTATCTGGACACTGGCTGCTTCCCTAGTCTGTCTCACAGTCCCTCAACCATATTAATTCCCCTACAGCCTAGCCCTCCCTGCAATGCTAAGGCTCTAAATTAAGCAAGTCTGGATTTCCCCAGGTCTGAATCTCTGGTCTCCCCGGGGCTCCTTTTCAAAATAAATGTGTTTATTTGTTACAATCAAAATTATATATATTCAGAGACTAAGCGTAAGACTAGATGGTTCCCGAGTGACAGGCCGTAGCTGGAGTTGTTGGTTGAAAATACTGACTACAATCCACAGCGGCCGTATGTAGTCACGGGAGATTGGGGAGTGTACTGTATACATAGTCATGAAGTATTAAGGGTGTATTCATGGGTAAAGGAGGGGAGTACTGTATACATCTCCATAAAGGATTAATGTGTATTCACAGGAAAAGGAAGAACGCTGTGCATACATACCTGTGAAGTATTCACGATGAGCTCTCTTGGCCGATGTAAAATGGTGCCTGGCAGTAAAATCAATGAGACTTTACAAGTGTTTGACTGTTTGACTTTCTGCCTAATCTGTTGTTTCGGTACATAATTTACATACATACACTTACTTCCACACACATATCACCTATTTCTACCAACACCATCGTACAGTACATCTCTTTTGATAATGAAAGGTGTATTGTTTCTGTGTACACAACCTTCACGGAAGGAAGTGTGTACACAACTCGAGAAGTATTGACCATGCGCCGACACCAGTTGTGACGATCCTGCCGCAGACTCTAACAATACTCTCCATCAGTAGTGTCTGAAACAGATGGATCTCACGTCCCTCTCATTAACTTCCTCTACCCAGGACCTCCACTAGCTGGGGCGCCGCCATCAGTCAGTTGCATTGATTTCTGCAGCGAGGCAGCTAATTCTGTTGCTGGTGACACAGGGCCAGTGTTTCTGCTAGTTTCGATACTTCTCACACCTCGGAGTTCTATTCGTGCCCGTAACGGCGTAATTGATGTCCCAGAGTAGATACAACACCTCCCCCGGGGATCACACCTTCGTCCACTGTCACCCAATCCCCCTCCCCACACCCAAGTGTTAATCCATGCAGCAGCAGAGACTTCGGTGTCAAATCTAATCTTTCCAGCTGATCTCGCTGTCTGTAACATCAAAGCATTGCACTTCACTAATTGCAGACCTTGTGAATATGGTATTCGTCTTCAGGTAATGTGTCTGTAAGTGTGCATCATATGTGTTGCATCATGTTCATGAACAATCTCCATCTTCATCACACTTACCACCGTAACACTGAACCAGTCCACCATCCTGAACCTCCACAACCACTGTCACCACCATGAACCAGCCCTCCATCACGAACCTCCACAACCTCTGCCCCACCATGAACCAGTCCACCATCACGAACCTCCACAACCTCTGCCCCACCATGAACCAGTCCACCATCACGAACCTCCACAACCACTGCCCCACCATGAACCAGTCCACCATCACGAACCTCCACAACCTCTGCCACCACCATGAACCAGTCCACCATCACGAACCTCCACAACCACTGCCCCACCATGAACCAGTCCACCATCACGAACCTCCACAACCACTGCTCCCACCATGAACCAGTCCACCATCACGAACCTCCACAGTCCCTATCTGAACTCTCTCCCACCATGAACCAGTCCACCATCACGAACCTCCACAACACAACAACTGCCCCACCATGAACCAGTCCACCATCACGAACCTCCACAAGTCCACCAACTGCCCCACCATGAACCAGTCCACCATCACGAACCTCCACAACAACTGCCCCACCATGAACCAGTCCACCATCACGAACCTCCACAACCACTGTCACCCCACCATGAACCAGTCCACCATCACGAACCTCCACAACCACTGCCCCACCATGAACCAGTCCACCATCACGAACCTCCCACTGCCCCACCATGAACCAGTCCACCATCTGAACCTCCCACAACCTCTGCCCCACCATGAACCAGTCCACCATCACGAACCTCCACAACCTCTGCCCCACCATGAACCAGTCCACCATCACGAACCTCCACAACCACTGTCCCCACCATGAACCAGTCCACCCATCACGAACCTCCACACCTCCACTGCCCCACCATGAACCAGTCCACCATCACGAACCTCCACAACCACTGCCCCACCACCATGAACCAGTCCACCATCACGAACCTCCACAACAACTGCCCCCACCATGAACCAGTCCACCATCACGAACCTCCACAACCACTGCCCCACCATGAACCAGTCCACCATCACGAACCTCCACATGAACCCACTGAACCCCCACTGCCCCCACCATGAACCAGTCCACCATCACGAACCACCCACAACCACACTCACCACCATGAACCAGTCCACCATCACGAACCTCCACAACCTCTGCCCCACCATGAACCAGTCCACCATCACGAACCTCCACAACCACTGCCCCACCATGAACCAGTCCACCATCACGAACTCTCCACAACCACTGCATCCACCATGAACCAGTCCACCATCACGAACCTCCACAACCACTGCCCCACCATGAACCAGTCCACCATCACGAACCTCCACAACCTCTGTCCCCACCATGAACCAGTCCACCATCACGAACCTCCCACAACAAGTCCAATCTGCCCCACCATGAACCAGTCCACCATCACGAACCTCCACAACCACTGTCCCCACCATGAACCAGTCCACCATCACGAACCTCCACAACCACTGCCCCACCATGAACCAGTCCACCATCACGAACCTCCACAACCTCTGCCCCACCATGAACCAGTCCACCATCACGAACCTCCACAACCACTGCCCCACCATGAACCAGTCCACCATCACGAACCTCCACAACCTCTGCCCCACCATGAACCAGTCCACCATCACGAACCTCCACAACCACTGTCACCACCATGAACCAGTCCACCATCACGAACCTCCACAACCACTGCCCCACCATGAACCAGTCCACCATCACGAACCTCCACAACCACTGTCACCACCATGAACCAGTCCACCATCACGAACCTCCACAACCTCTGCCCCACCATGAACCAGTCCACCATCACGAACCTCCACAACCTCTGCCCCACCATGAACCAGTCCACCATCACGAACCTCCACAACCACTGCCCCACCATGAACCAGTCCACCATCACGAACCTCCACAACCTCTGCCCCACCATGAACCAGTCCACCATCACGAACCTCCACAACCACTGTCACCACCATGAACCAGTCCACCATCACGAACCTCCACAACCACTGCCCCACCATGAACCAGTCCACCATCACGAACCTCCACAACCACTGTCCCACCATGAACCAGTCCACAAGTGTTCTATCACTTCAAGCTTTGAGAACAAAAGAAATGAAGACATTGATCTGTCACTCTTAAAATGTGAATTTCTGTTTATTCGTTTCTTTGCCGATACACAACCTAAGCACAATCACCCCGACAATATCTTGATCATCATTCTCCCAACATACAATTCCAATCTCACATTCCAGCAACCGATGTCAATCATATATCACAGGAGCCTAAACCAACACCACCCAATCACTGCACCCGACAACAAATTCCCACACAATATTTGTGATGATCAGTGATAAACTCAGGTGAGACTGTCATGACTCGTGGTGTCACTTGGTAACCCTTTTCAGCAAATGTCACTATTCAAAATGCGGACGTGTTTATTAAGCCATTTTAGTAAGTTCTGATACTGAATTGAAACATGGCTCTCCCTCACACGTCTACCATCAAGATGCTAACTTCTGGAATAACAGCAGCACCGATATCACCGACTCCTGGTAAGTGAGTTGCGCCCCCTTGTTCTCAGGCGCCACTTGAATTCAAGCCCAATGATCAAACAGTGTCGAGATAAAGAGTAGGGCGGGACATGCCTCTTGTCTCGGAGAACACTTGGGGCAACCAGCTGATATTGATACAGTTCTTCAGTGAGATGTCCAACTACAACTTCAACCAGGAGCCACAAGGAGCTCTCCTCCCCTAAACTAAAGCAGTAGATCTGGAACAGACTGGTTCTGCTCTATCATCGTGATGCTTCCATATCAGGAACACTTACGACTGTTAGTTGATCTGAGGCCTACATGGTTGTTGCTGACGACGTTTGGATCGGTGGGCAGTTATTGCAACATGTGACAGGTTAACGCAAGTTACTGTGTGGAGAACATGGGGAGTGTCTTGGTGGCAGATCTTGTCTGTTCTGATTTACCTTCATGCTAACTTTCATACTACTAATGTGGTGAGTGAGTGAGTGATTGTGTGTGTCGGTGAGTGGGTGGTGATCAAACAGCGGGGTGTAGGACAACAATATACGCTGCGTACATCGCACAACTGTTCAACGCCAGGATCCAGAATGTGATATACTGGTGCATATCACTCTACACAATACACAAGTGTGTTAATGTGTGTGCTGTACTGGTGTTATCCCGCTCTTAAATAATACAACAGCTCTTTTACTCTCTTACTGGTGTTATCCCACTCTTAAATAATACAACAGCTCTCTTACTCTCTTACTGGTGTTATCCACTCTTAAATAATACAACAGCTATCTTACTCTCTTACTGGTGTTATCCTACCCTTAAATAATACAACAGCTCTCTTACTGGTGTTATCCTACCCTTAAATAATACAACAGGTGTTACTCTCCTGGTGTTATCCTACTTAAATAATACAACAGCTATCTTACTCTCTTACTGGTGTTATCCTACTCTTAAATAATACAACAGCTATCTTACTCTCTTGCTGGTGTTATCCTACTCTTAAATAATACAACAGCTATCTTACTCTCTTACTGGTGTTATCCTACCCTTAAATAATACAACAGCTATCTTACTCTCTTACTGGTGTTATCCTACTCTTAAATAATACAACAGCTATCTTACTCTCTTACTGGTGTTATCCACTCTTAAATAATACAACATACTCTCTTACAACAGCTCTCTCTTACAGGTGTATCCTACTCTTAAATAATACAACAGCTATCTTACTCTCTTACTGGTGTTATCCTACACTTACATAATGCAACAGCTCTCTTACCGTGTGTGCTATACTGGTGTGTTCCCGCTCACTCTTAAATAATACAACAGCTCTCTTACTCTCTTACTGGTGTTATCCCACTCTTAAATAATACAACAGCTATCTTACTCTCTTACTGGTGTTATCCTACCCTTAAATAATACAACAGCTCTCTTACTGGTGTTATCCTACTCTTAAATAATACAACAGCTCTCTTACTCTCTTACTGGTGTTATCCTACTCTTAAATAATACAACAGCTATCTTACTCTCTTGCTGGTGTTATCCCACTCTTAAATAATACAACAGCTATCTTACTCTCTTACTGGTGTTATCCTACTCTTAAATAATACAACAGCTATCTTACTCTCTTACTGGTGTTATCCTACCCTTAAATAATACAACAGCTATCTTACTATCTTACTGGTGTTATCCTACTCTTAAATACTACAACAGCTATCTTACTCTCTTGCTGGTGTTATCCTACTCTTAAATACTACAACAGCTATCTTACTCTCTTACTGGTGTTATCCTACTCTTAAATAATACAACAGCTATCTTACTCTCTTACTGGTGTTATCCTACTCTTAAATAATACAACAGCTATCTTACTCTCTTACTGGTGTTATCCTACCCTTAAATAATACAACAGCTCTCTTACTCTCTTACTGGTGTTATCCTACTCTTAAATAATACAACAGCTATCTTACTCTCTTGCTGGTGTTATCCCACTCTTAAATAATACAACAGCTATCTTACTCTCTTACTGGTGTTATCCTACTCTTAAATAATACAACAGCTATCTTACTCTCTTGCTGGTGTTATCCTACTCTTAAATAATACAACAGTTCTCTTACTCTCTTACTGGTGTTATCCTACTCTTAAATACTACAACAGCTCTCTTACAGGTGTGACCCTACTCTTAAATAATACAACAGCTATCTTACTCTCTTACTGGTGTTATCCTACACTTACATAATGCAACAGCTCTCTTACCGTGTGTGTTATACTGGTGTGTTCCCGCTCACTCTTAAATAATACAACAGCTCTCTTACTCTCTTACTGGTGTTATCCTACTCTTAAATAATACAACAGCTCTCTTACTAGTGTTATCCCACTCTTAAATAATACAACAGCTATCTTACTCTCTTACTGCAGTTATTTCAATCTTAAATAATACAACAGCTCTCTCATTCTCTTACTGGTGTTATCCTACTATGAAAAAATTAAACAGCTATCTTACTCTCTTACTGGCGTTGTCCCACTCTTAAATAATACAACAACTATCTTACTCTCTTACTAGTGTTATTTTACTCTTAAATAATACAACAGCTCTGTTACTGGTGTTATCCCACTCTTAAATAATACAACACCTCTCTAACTCTCTTACTGGTGTTATCCTAGTTTTAGATAATACAACAGCTCTCTTACTGGTGTTATCCTACCCTTAAATGATACAATAGCTCTCTTACTCTCTTACTGGTGTTATCCTACTCTTAAATGATACAACAGCTCTCTTACTCTCTTGCTGGTGTTATCCTACTCTTAAATAATACAACAGCTATCTTACTCTCTTACTGGTGTTATCCTACCCTTAAATAATACAACAGCTCTCTTACTCTCTTACTGGTGTTATCCTACCCTTAAATAATACAACAGCTATCTTACTCTCTTGCTGGTGTTATCCCACTCTTAAATAATACAACAGCTATCTTACTTTCTTACTGGTGTTATCCTACCCTTAAATAATACAACAGCTCTCTTACTCTCTTACTGGTGTTATCCTACCCTTAAATAATACAGCAGCTATCTTAACTCTCTTCCTGGTCTTATCCTACCCTTAAATAATACAACAGCTCTCTTACTCTCTTACTGGTGTTATCCTACTCTTAAATAATACAGCAGCTATGTTACTGTGAGTGCTATACTGGTGTTGTACCACTCCACATAATACAGCAGCTCTGTTACTGTGAGTGCTATACTGGTGTTGTACCACTCCACATAATACAGCAGCTCTGTTACTGTGAG